GTGTGTGCTTAATTCCATTTTCATTTTCATTTCAGTCGGCGGCAGACAAATGCAGACAATGTTGAAAGGGAGGTGTGGACCGGGCAGACCGGGATGGAGGCAACGTTTTGTTTGAGTTCTTGAGGCATCCTTTTAGCCCAGTGCCTCAGTAATATGCGCATCCGTTCTCGCTCGCTTGGCATGCGCCCAATGTTTGTCTGCTTTTGGGCATTTCGGCCCTGGGGAAATGGGTCAGCGAAAAAGCAGCAGCGCATAATTTAATTGCCAACATTCGCAGCGGCAACTGCAGCTGCAACGTATTTCCAATTACAAAATTCAAAGTTTATGCGAACACTTGATAACTAAACAACAGCTCAGGCTCACGTTTGTCACTGTCACATGTCACAAGCCACATGCCACACCCCGCCCCCACCAACCTTTCCGATCGTAAATCATGGGAGTCAACTTAAAAATAGGCGCCTCCTGACATTTCAGCGCGATTGTCAGTCATCGGGCAGGGCATTCGCTTAATTGCCGCACATCTGTCTGGCCCAATATGCAGCAGCAACAGCAGCCGAGATCAGCTAATATCCCCCCACAAACACACACACCACCATACCACCACCCCCACATTCCATACCCTTTCCCTTCAGAAACACATTAGGTGCGTGGGTATACGCCCCACACCCTTGCGCCCCGCATCAAATGAATTTATGACAACTAAGCATAAATAATTCAATTCGTGCGTGTTTACAACATTTATTAAATGAAGTGTTGACGTGGGTGAGAATCACGCCCACACACACACACACGCACACACACACGTAGCTACATCTCCTACATGCGCGCTTCTCTCAATATATTTGTTGAAGGGGCAGCCACCAAAAATATAGCTCGTTGTTGTAGCTTGCTCTTGAAAAAAAAAGGCAAGAAAACTAAGAAAAAAAATGGGCAAAGTCGGTTTTGTAGCTGGGACTCGCGGCAGCAGCAGCAGCCTTGCCTCTATCTATCCATCAAATGAGTCATAAGTGTACAGACTTCCGCCTGTCTAGGGTTCAAAAAACTTCAAATTAAAAATAAAACTGAAAAAAAAAAACACAGATTTGCGGCGCAGATTTGTGTAACTATTGCTTGAAGCTAAGGTTGTTGCCATCATCAGTTATTCAGGTATTTCAATCGCTCTCCCTCTCTATCTCTCTCTCTTATATACATATTTGGTTTTGTGACCTTTTGATTGGGTTTTTTATGCTTAACACAAGCCTGTTGTATCTTCAATTTAACAAAATTGTATAATTTTTGCTTTTGTTAACAAATTGTTTTGTACTTATCGATTGTAATTTTTGCAAATTTATCAATCAAGAGCTTCCACTTTACTTTCATTGCGAGGAGTTTGCTATAATCATTTCATTTCATCTTTAACATATCCCTCTTCCCGTCTTAAATTACTTTCTTTTAGTTACATTAATTTCTAAGCGTTTCATTATTTTATTTGATTTTAATAACATCTCCTCGTTCTCGTTGAAAGCTTCATATACACACTTTTGTCATTAGTTCATAATAGATGCCTGAATCTCCTTAATTAGATTAAACTCGCTTAAAAGAATTTTCCCCTCTAGTTCTTACTGATCAAAGTGCTCAAAGTTTTTGCTGCGCTATAGTTATAAATTTTCAAAAAGTTTGTTAACCATCTTTAATCATAATTATATATATTCTAATCTCTTTAGCTGTTTTATAATATTTTTCTTTTAGTTTCCAAACCAAGTATCTTTGGTCTTACAGTTTTTTTTTTATTTTCTTTCTTTACACGTAAACTATTTTTCACTCATGGTCAACTTTATTTGCAGGCTCCTTGGCTTTGTGCAACCGCCCGGAGCTTGGCAACTGTCCATATGTGGGCATCTGTTGCTTTGGCCAATTTATGATGTCAGCTACTGTAAAACCCGCCATGTCAACTGTCGACAACGACAGCAACAACACTAAAACAAACAATGGCAATAGCAATGGCAAAACTATTTAAAATAACAACAGACAAGTCGTTAACGTCATGGAATTATAATTAAAAATCTGAACAAGCCGTCGGCTCTGGCAACGAACTCTCCGCTCCTTCAGCAATACGGCGCCCCTGTCTATTAAACAACATTATTATCATCGTCGTCGTCATCATCGTTATAAACACTGTGGTTTGTATATTTGATAATTGACTTGGGCTTAATGCAATTAACAAAGCGTATGATTGAAAAAATATATAAACTCCATCATCGATATAATGATAAAAAATTAATTTAACAAAAAAAATAAAAAAAAAAAAACAAAAACAAAAACAAATATATATGAGAATTATTGTACAGATAGCAACAACACACATTTGTTGTCATTTATACATGGTTGTATTTAAAAAGTAATATAAGCATTAATAAGTTAATAATCGTTCACAAAGCTTTGCCGCCAGAGGCTGCATAATTAATGCGGCTTCTATTTGGAGGAGGCTGTTAATAGATTGAATGAATCGGAATTATTGGATGACGAGCACATCGCATTGCTTTGATAAGGTCTTTGATAATGTTTAATATGAATATTGATGATATCATGCGATTAAGAATACAACAGCAGAAGAAGAAGCAGAAATAAACAAAAGAATGAACAAAGAATTTGATTGACTTTTGGTCTGCTGATATGCTAATCCTTTACATAAACTCAATCAATCGACAGTTTTCACATTGCGGAAAGCAAACGCGTTTCTACTGAGCAACAACGAAAACGAAAACAAAATCTTGAGCGCAGCGCAACTAACCATGAAAAGCAAATAATCAAAAACCAAGCCGCATGCTCTGGTCCGGCCGGCCCGGGCCAGGCGAGGCGAGGGCATTAATTACCTACAACATTTTTCGTATGCCCAACTTCCGGCAGATGAGCGACGACTAAATCTAGCATATAACTATGATTATGAGTATGTTTACGATTATGATCATCAGCAAGTGGACTTTGGCAGCGATGCTCTCCCCAGCTAGACCAGCCGGATGGCGGACGTAATTGCTTGCCATTATGGCCAAGATGTATGAAAAATGGTTGGCAAAAGTTTGGGCCAAGCGACGCGCATACAACACGAGTCGCGAGTGCAAACATGACGAAAACAAATAAAACAAGAAAGAACGGCCAACAATGGTAAGTCGAAGATTAAATACACTTTCAAATCAGTTTTCCATAAAAAAACACAATTTTATTGTGAGCGTATATAGAGCTATATAGCTATATGATTAGTCTGATGTGTATACGATTGTTCCCATATGTAAGGAGCGTAGAAGAGCTCGTATATGTTTAAGAAATCGTGAAAAAAAAGCCAACGATATGTTTCGTTGATCATTCCCAAGCAGCTATAAGATATAGTGATCCGATCTGAAATCTTTCGGACCAACGTACATGGACATATCGATCCGACCATTTATACTGATGTACCCTCTAAGCGAGGGTATAACAAAAATCTGTGTATACACACCATTTAATTATGCGCATAAAGCTAATTAATTAGCGCCAGGCAATCTGCCGTCGCGACGCAATCCATGACAAATCAGATAAGAGAGACAGGTGTGCAATAGCACGAGCCAGCTAACTTAGCCTCACATGAAGCCAGAGCCATGATTCAGCCAAAAGCCGAACTGCATTTTAATTAAACATCGCAATGGAGCCACTCATAATATATCATATGAAATGTTTGCGGCGATAATGTGCGATATATAGTACATATATATATATACATATGTATATATATATATGTATGTATATATGTATATGCATGTGCGACTAACCTATTCGCAATGGATATAGTGGAGAAAGGTTTTGTAGATATGCATAGTATTGTAATATGAAGCTCCTAATAGATGTTCATTAGCTGCATATTAAGCGAATTGAGCGATGATCTAATCACCAAGCAGTTAATTATTAACATTGAAAGATGGTAAACAGCTGAATTATTCATGGCCAAAACTTAAGATAAGCCATTGTCAAGGCTCCTTGGAAATAAACTTAGAAGTTGAGCTCATCACTAAACTCTAAAGAATCAAAGAAGCAGAAGAATCTATGAGTTGAGAGTGCATAGGGTTGCCAGCTCAACAGAATTTATTAAATATATTTCTTTTCATGGAGTTGCCAAGCATTCTATTAACTGCGCTTTGCACTCTACACCTATTAAAAATGTATTCAACTTCATAGGGTTGCCAAGCTACCTCAATTTTTAACCGCAGGCTTCTCCTTTCACACACAACAACCCAGAATCAGTTTGCGCATTATTACTGTTTTGGAAAGTAAAGTTTCAACGGAATTGTTCGGCTTCTTCAGCCAAGTCCTATCCATTTACTCTTTAACAAAGTTGTCTAACTTCTTAACCTGCTACCCAACACTAGACTATTTAAACATCATGACTATTCTCGATCAATGTTTAAATAGTACATACGTATGCTTGATATATATATATATCCAATAGGGTTGCCAAGATTCTATTCCCATCTGAACTTTTCTACTCTTAAACAGACTCTTAACTTGAGCTTAAGCTCAGAGTTATGCTCAACACTAGAATTCGTAGGCTAGCTCAACGCAACTGTGGGAAATTCATTGCGATGCAAATGAGGGCCGGATGCGATATTAATTAAATCTTTGTATAAAACAAAACTTTAGCTCTAGATCTGATTAAGTTTGGCGCGAAGAAGAAGCGAAGACAACTTTTCAATTTACTGTTGTCAAAGAAGTGAGTACTGTTCCCCCAACCCCTACCCGTGCCCGGTGACTCGTCTTGCCAATTTATTTTCATTGGCAAACATTTCGCCAAGGACACTAGAGCCAAAAAATAAACATATACACAATCAGCCCCTGTCCAATAACCCCTCCCCTATTTATATCCTCTAATGTAAGACTGAGTATTTATTTTTTGTTGTTGTTTTTTTTGTCTTGCTGATGGAAAGTTGGAAATACTCTATGGCTGTAATTTTGGAGCCTACCCCTAATAGACTTTTAATTACCCAGTTACGTACCTTTGTGCTTTGTTCTGCTGGCGCTTCGGGGCCGTGTTGATTTTTGCGCAATGACAGCATGAAATTACCATTAATTTTGGGCCCTGCAAATGGCGAGACGGAAACAGAAGCTGAAAACAAAATAGATTAGCATTAGCACAAGTATTATATATATATATTATATATATATTTATAGGTACAGAGATTTGCATGAGACAGGACCGAGCAGCTAGAGAGTGCGATGGCGATAGTAAGAGTAAGAGTGAGAGTGTTAGCTATATATACATTTACAACTATATAAGTAAATCGCGTAAATGCCTCGGTTGCATGTCAAGCTGGCATTAAGTGCCACCCCGTAAGTGCCTCAATCAAGGCGGACTCGCCCCAGCGGGGCACTCAAATTGAATAGACTGGCGACACTTGATATGGCGCAAGGCAACAGGACTATCTATCTATAAGAATTGACAACTAGCTGGAATTATTTGTCACACAAAATTAGCGTCGAGTTCTGAACAATTCGAACTGAGTTGAGATTTTTCCTAGCGCGCGCATCATTTGTCAATGCGCGCCAAATCGTCGAGTGACAGGCAGCAATAAAAACAATGCGACAGGGGATATTGTAATGGATATCTAAGGGTGGGGTGGTGGGGTAGGCGGTGTTTAGCGTGTTTGAGCGAGCGACTTCTCCAAGGGGGTGTGATAGCTCGCGGGCTGTTGTAAGGGCGCTGGCACACTGTGTTAATGTGTTTGTATTTCTGAAATTGAGAGATTTACATGAACTCATCGCTTGGCGATTTTGTGGGCTTTATTAGCATAGGGAATGTCAGCTATTCATATGTATATCGAGTGAAAGATAAGCTTTTAAATCGCTTTCAATACCCTGGCTAGGGCTCATTTGTGCCCACATTAACCCATGTTGCTGTCACAGCTAACGGCTGCTTTAACACATTGTCAAACTGGTTGGGCTTTCGTATTTTACACAGTTGTTAAAAAGGCTCTGTAGTTCGGCTGACGGTTCAAACCTCGCCTTAAGGCTTGGTTCGTGAACCTGGATTTGCCCATCTGCTAAAACAGGTTTTGGGTTCTTCAAATTTATTCTACATATTCTTAGCGCAAGCTTTAAAGTTTTGCAACATTTTCAATAAGCAAAAGAACAAAAACCAAAAACTGTGAACTAATGGGTCAGATCAGTTTTGGGCTCTTTTTATTCAATCAAAAAAAGTAAAGTTGCTGGTTTAAACCGTTTTGGGTTTAAGTTGTTTTGCAATCTCGATAAAAGATAACAGCATTTAAGTTCTGGTCAAGCAACTTGAAACTTCTTGTCAATTGAACTGCATATAATTCAACATTTAACTTCCACTCAAAGCTAAACTGCCGTGTCAACGGACATGAACTTTGACAGGAACACAATAAAAAGGACACTCAAATGTTGTGCACTCAGCTCTCAGGTCTCAGCACTCAACTAGAGCAGCCGCCACTTGAAGTGGCACTTAAGTTAATGCGCTCGGCAACATTGCAAGACCCATAAGCCAAATGTCTGTTAGCCGCCAAGTGTCATATGTTGCTCGCAATCTCAACTAATTTTGGCAGCTGCTTTCAATCAAACAACACTCGACGATTGTCAATTGTATACGGCTTGTCAGTTGTCGCACAGCCAATGTTGAGTGTTTCGAGTTAACCTGCCATTTGAATACCAATTTCGATTTCAATTTCAATTTCAATTTCAAATTCAATTCCCAAAAACCAAACCAATTCCAATTGCCAGCCGGGCAAGTGACCCAACTTGAACCGCATACAGATTGATACTTGAATGCGTTATGGCCAAAACATACTCGATTTCGAAGCGCGGCCCAACTGACATTCCAATGGCATTTTGTGCGCGTCATTTGGGTTTTTCGGCTTTTCGCCTCAATATTTTTTCAGTTCATTTTTTATGGTTTTGCTTGCTTGTGCTTTGCATACTTGAGCAGCTGCTGGCACTGGACGGGGCAGAGTTGGAGCATTAGGTCAAAGCAATGGCCATCCTTGCATTTAACCCTCACCCCCACAATTATGAACAGCAATTGGAATGCAGCTCTGCGTTTTGTTTTTTTTTTTTTTAATGTTTAGCTTTTTTGTATGCCGCGCGGCACGCGTACAATTTATATCGAATGCCCTTGAATCGCATAGTACATAGCGTATTTTGTTATTTTTTAGTTGTTGTTTTCATTTTTTATTTTTATAGATATTTATGGTGAGCTGTTAAGCGTTTAGTTTTCAATTTCAATAATATATTTATAGCCAGAAGGTCGCACGCAGGCGTTGACAATTGTAGCCTGGCCCGCAGCCCGGCATTACCATAACTAAACTATCGACAATCGGCAACATAAGAGTTAATGAGCGGCAGCTTAGCAGCAGGCAATGGCTCATAAATCATATTTAACATATCTAAATACTTTATGTATTATGCATTTAATTACAGCTGAATAAATTACAATTGAGCTGAGCTTGAGTCCCCCACTTGGGCGACATTCCATGGCAGGCTGCCCGTGGGCTGTAGCTCGAGCTGGGGCGAAGAACTTGTTCAAATTATACGTTATATTGAACTAACATTGTCACAAAGATAACGGCAGCCAGCCAGCCGCGTCATAGCTGACGAAGTGCAGGCGACACCTATATCCGGCTCCGACTCCGATTCCGATTCCGATTCCATGCGCATATTATACAAAATGTTGCCGGGGCTATGCCTGGGGCAGTGCCAGCTGCCATTCAATTAGAATCTTGTCAATGCCCTGCGCACCGCAGCTGTTAACAGGCAGCAAGGCAGCCAGCCAGAGTATCCAGGACATCTATTGAATATGTTGTGCCCCTCTCTGAACCATTGCCGTCTTCCCGGTCTCGAGCTGCATGTCGCCCATTTTTCGTATGACAAAGCGTGCCATTGTTGATCTCCTGCCCAGGCACCGCGCCGTCGCCGATGTAGTAGCAGCCCATCAGCAGCTACCACTTAACCAAGGCAAGCATCCATCCATCCACACACAAACACACTCACACACACACACACACACCCACACCCACACACACACACACCCACATAGCATCGCAGAGCAGGCACAATGGGTGAACATCAATATAGATCCAATGGGACCTGTTCCTAGTGCATGTTGAGGAAACTTCATTAGAATTTCCTATTGAAACAATATTTTAAATGATCGATTTTCAACAATCGTTTAAATGTTCTAATTTTTTTTTCTTTTTGATACATTTTACTTTACCGATAAGCACAAAATTTATGAGTATTAAATTGATCCCTATCGATTTATATAAAAACTGTGTTTACCCAGTTATCGATAATCGCAATGCGATAAAGAAAAGTAAGAGTGCCGCACACTTCAACGCTAACAGCAAATATCGACATACACATTTATCGCCAAGTGATAAGTTATCGATAGCCACATTTATAGTCAAACGAAATGTTACCGATAACAACATTTATCGTTAAGCGATAAGTAATTTATAGTCACATTGATAGACTAACAATAATTGATCGATAACAACATTTATCGCTTAGCGATATGTTATCAATAGCCACATATATCGACAAGCGATATATTTTCGATATCGTTTTCTCTGTTTTCATAGCTCTGTGCATCCTTGAAGCTAGCTAGCTACCTCCCATGGTGAATTTCTCGACGGAGTCGCCGTTTGCTGACATGTCAGAAATTTTAACTGGCAATTTGCAGGAAAACGCACGCGACGCACGTACAACACGACCAGACACGGCCAGCCGGCCACGTGGACTGCTGCAGACGGGAGGGCTGGGCATCGGGACGGGGAGGAGCGCGCGCACAGGAGCCACAAAAGGACAATCTGACAGGCAGACAGCACGAACGATTGGGTAGAGCGGGAGAGGCGGGGTGGGACAGACAGGCGAACAGACAGTGATACAGAAGCAGCAGCAACGTCCTCAGCAATTTCCATGAGCGTGTGTGTGAGAGCCAGTGTTTGTGTGTGTGTGTGTGTGTGTGTGTGTGTGTGTGTGTGCATGCAAGTGTTTTCTTGTTTTTGTTGCTTAAAACATGGCACAATATGTTGCCATGTCTGCCACTCCTCCGCTGCCGCCCCCAGCCACGCCTCGCCTCGTTGCGAGTCTAGCTGCCACTTGAGTGTGTGGCGCTCTCTCTGCCTGTGTGTGTGTGGTGAACATTTTCGGTAATGGTGTCAAAATAATTTGGGTTGTCATTTGTTTTGTCGGCCACCCAAAAAGGTAAGCCATATAAGCAAGCAGCGAACTGTGGCTAGCATTGTGGTGGAACTCCAGAGGGCGGTGGTACTATGTGGGAAAAAGCTTTTCGGAATTTGCCGGGATACGAGGTCTCCGGTCTCTGTCTAAGCTCATAATCAGCAGCGCTCTGCCTTGGTCAGGGCAAGCAGCCGCATTAACCATTTGCGATTTTTAATAAGCAGCCAAACGCAGGCAGCTAATAAAGTATAAGTGGCGAGTGGTGGCAGGGGGTGTACGGGCGTACACTGGCAACAGGAACAAACACATACACACATATGTAAATATGGGAGGGGGTTGTAGTGGAGGCAACGAGATTACCTTTTGTATTGTTTTTGCTTAGCTTTTGTTGCTTGACGCTTGTTTGGATTTTTATTAAATTTTCGTGAGGGCTAAGAGGAACCCTCTTTGGCTGTATGCGTGCGTGTTTGTTACTGCAAATATTAATTGATTTTCCTGTTTGCTGCTTCAACTCTGTGTGTGCTTACAGCTCTCATGTGTGTGTGTGTGTGCGTGGGTGTGGGGGTGCATCAGAACCTTTCGCGCAAAGCAATTTTTCCAATTTTCAATAGCAGCAGTTATCCCAAAACAACGCAGCACGCCCGCAACTCTGCGGCATTTGCAGACGCACAGTTGAATTCAATTTTTGTTTCGGTGCCGATTCGATTCGATTTAAAGTTTTTCAGCTAGCTGGCAAACGCGGCGTATGCGTAACGCGTTCCAGCAGAGGGCCAAAAGCCAAAACTTAATAAAAAATGTTGCCTACTTTTTAGCTGAAGCAAGTCAACGAAAAGGGCGAGCGAATGCAGCGACTTATGCTTGATTTATGGACTTGCTGCCGCAACTAGCAGCAGGCCAAATGAATTAAAT